AAAAAATAATCCTACGTAGTGAGAGTGAGTGGAGGTGTGAGTAAAGTAGTAATGACAGAATTTTGATCATTGCTGAAGGTGGGTCATGGGTCTGAGCATTCATTATACACACTATTATGTATACTTTGTATATATTTGACATTTTGCAAAATAAAGTTTTAAAATATATATCACTGAAATGTACAATCAAAATTTTTCATAGCCTGAAAATATACCTACCTAAGAAGCTTCTTCTATGAGCAAAGAACATTTTTTAAAATATCCATGGATATCCCCTGTGTCTATGCTTCACATGGAGAATTTAAAATGGAGCTCATTATTTTCTCCAGCTCCCCTCGCCCCCCACCCCCAGCATGTCTCCTACTTAATGGGCCATCAGAGTGAATATGATATGGTTGCCTCAGCTACCACCAACCCCCAAATTAATTCTCCTCTGATCCCTCAAATATTTATTTCTAGCAAATACTGGTGTAGATGGAGAAATCAGAGCTGCATACACTAGAGAAAACTGATTTGACAGCTAGATCTCCATCTTCATCTTTATTCTCACTACTCTCTGAAGACAGTGTTTATAAATTAATGAGAAAATGGATTTTTTTTAATCCTCATCTTTAATGTATAATGCCTTCCAGAAGACCAATTTGGATTTTTTTTAATCTTGCATTTAACTTTTTTTAAAACTCACTTTCTTGTTTCTTGTTTCGATACAAAAAGATATAAAATTTCAGAATAATAAAATCCAGAGAATACTTACCAAAGTCAATGGTCAATTTCTCTACTATTGACTGATAAGGCTCAGTCACATATGAGTCACTAAACAAGTCACTGAAATGTGCTTTATTAGTTTTCTAAATTTTGCCTGAGTAAAGTTTCATAGTTTTTCACAAGGCAAGTCAGAAGACCATACAGAGGCAAAGAATGAACTCAGGCTCAATCACAGTTATTTAAAGGTATAATATGTTAATACCCTTCTAGGTCATAAGAGGATTACAGGTGCATTTGAGCAAAGAATCTTCTCCACAGAAGGTAATGAGTAGACTCAAATACTGCTATCAATCAGTTCTCTACAGTTAGCATATGATAAAAGACTGAATTTAACTAAAATTAAAGATCTAAAATTTATATACTTTATAACTTCTACTTACAAACATTTCTACCTAATTTTATTTTTATATATCCCCTGCTAAAATCCACTCAACAACACACGACGACAAATTCCAAAGAAGAATTTCACAAGATATTAAACAGCATATATCCAGAAAGTGAAAGTGATCCTGATTCATTCAGTCAACAAACCTTTGAGTGCCTCCAGCATACCAAGCACTCCTCTAGGTACTAGAAATATAAGTGAATAAAACTAAGTTTACACCCTCATGGAGCTTACATCCTAGTAAGGGAGACAGGCTTATAAGAATGGTAGAGGATAGTAAGTGCCTCAGAGGAGAATGAATCAGGGAAAGGCTAGAAGGGTGTGCAGATTACTATCTAATAGTAGCTGGTCAGGAAACGTCTCTCAGCTTTCAGTGACATATGAGCAAAACCTGAAGAAAGTGATGTTCCTGAATTCCAGGTAGAAGAAATGGTAAGTGCAAAGGTCCAGGGCCTGAGCCAACATGCAAATTCAAGAAACTGCCAGGCCAATGTGGCTACAGTAGAGCAAGTTAGCCTAAGAGCCATGGGAGCTGAGGGCGGGAGGGGGGATAGGGAGAGATTATCTAGGCCTTTGTAGGCCATTTTAAGGATCTGGGCTTCTAGCATGAGAGAGATGGGAAGCCATTCTGTTATGAGTAGAAATGAACCTATTTTAACATTTTTAAAAGAATCACTCTAGCTGTGTGTGGAGAATAGAAGGTAGAGGAATAAAGGTTGAAGCAAAAAGACCACTTCACTTTAGAGACCACAATGTGCTCAGAGGAATATTTTAACTTTACTTGCTTATAGGCTGTGTTTCATTATACACCTCAATATTCCAATAACTAAGCGAGTGGTCAATGGACTTGCTCTCTTGTTTGCCACTGGCTTGGGGGTCATTTTTTTTCAAGTTTTTACTGTTGTACTTTAAGTGAAAGTTTACAGGTTAGTCTCTCATACAAAAATTTATACATACACTGTTATGTGACCCTAAGGGCTCTTCTTATACTATGACAGCACACTCCTCCCTTCCACCTCTGATTTCCTGTGTCCAATCAACCAGCTCCTGACCCTCTCTGCCTTCTCATCTCACCTCTAGACAGGAGCTGCCCATTTAATCTCATGTATCTACTTGAGCTAGAAGCACTCTTCACAAGTATCATTTTATGTCCCATAGTCCAGTCTAGTCTTTGTTTGAAGAGTTGGCCTCAGGAATGGTTTTAGTTCTGGATTGACAGAGAGTCCGGGGGCCATGCTTTCTGGGGTTCCTCATATCAGTCAGACCATTAAGTCTGATCTTTTTACTAGAATTTGAATTCTGCACGCCACTTTTCTCCTGCTCCATCAGGGACTCTCTGTTGTGTTCCCTGTCTGGGTGGTCATTGGTGGTAGCTGGGCACCATCTAGCTTCTTCTGGTCTCAGAATGATGCAGTCTCTGGTTTATGTGGCCCTTTCTGTCTCTTGAGCTAATACATTCCTTTTAACTTTGGTGTTCTTCATGCTCCTTTACTCCAGGTGGGCTGGGACCAACTGATGCATTTTAGATTGCCACTTGCTAGCTTTTCAGACCCCAGACGCCACTCACCAACATAGCATGCAGAACATTTTCTTAATAAACTTTGTTATACCAATTGACACAGATGTCCCCTGAAAGCACAGCCCCCAGACTTGGGGGTCAGTTTTTGAAAGAGAAGCAAGAATTATCAAATGTTGCTTTTCAGGCTCTAGTTTTAATCTACTGGATACCAAACCAATAAAACCAAACCCATTGCCCTCAAGTCAAATCCGACTCACAGTGATCCTACAGGACAGAGTAGAACTGCCCCACGGGGTTTCCAAGGAGTGGCTGGTAGATTCAAACTGCCGACCTTTTGGTTAGCAGCTGCAGCTCTTAACCACTGTGCCTCCAGGGCTCCAATCTACTGGATACCTACCTACCTACCTACCCGTTGCCGTCAAGTCAATTCCGACTCATAGCGACTCTATAGGACAGAGTAGAGCTACCCCCATAGAGTTTCTGAGGAGCACCAGTGGATTCAAACTGCCGACCTTTTGGTTAGCAGACGTAGCTCTTAACCACTATGCCACCAGGGTTTACAATCTACTGGATAGTGACTACTTTATCATAATTAATCCAAAAGGTAAATAAGACAAAAACTGTTAGTTTCTCAAACAATCACATCCTTTTGGAGAATATCCCCTTACAAAATAGTAGAAAACAAGTATTTTAATTTGGGTACTTGATATGAAAGGTTTCCTATTATTGCAGTTATTCATAACCCTCGTCACAAGGTATGTACACTGTCATAGTCAAAACCCATTTAACTAATATTCCTGAAAGAAGATAAACTGAAATAAAAATATACTGCAAACCATAAAACCATCAACATTCTCACAAACTTCTGTTTCGCAGTTAATTTATGAAATCCCTCTTGTAACGAAGACAGGTTCTGAGTCACTCTCCTATATCAAATTTCCTTAAGTTCTGTGACTAGCATGTCTACAGAAGCCTCACCCAAACCATGTTGTTATCACTTTCAGTTACAAAAACCTGAGGAAAACCACAGAACACTGTTTTCTTTTTCAGGACTTTTATCCACATGTGAGTGTTATTAATTGGTTTTAGAAGGTGTCAGAAACACATGATTTCCTGCACACTTTGGTGATTTCATTCTATGCACAGAGCACTCTGATAAATTAAATCATCCTGGCTGTGTCATTAATTGCAGCTGGCTTGCCTGAGTATTGCTCTTCGATGATGAGCAAGCAATACAAAATAAGGTGCTGATTCCACTCTTTAAGATCTCATTTTCAGCATCCTGTAAAATGTTACTAGGGAGGATTTTAAAACAAAAATGAACGCTACAATATAATTCACTTTGGTTTTGCAGAAACCTAAACCCACTTGCCAGAAATTTGATGGCTATTTTATTTCCAAATAGCAGGCAGTATCTATAGTATTGAAGAGAAACGTAGTGTGGGGTGGGGAGAGGCTATTAAAATGGATATTCCAGCTTTTTGTTTACCAGTAAGAGCTTTAGTGGGACGGGGGTAAGGGGCCTAAGTAGGAACTGTGGGACTTTTACAGCCATATATACTCCAGTCGTATTCCCTCACCTTCACTGAATAGTGTCAAAAATTTGCTTCAATTAAGTTCTACTGACAAGGAGATTTTCTTCTCTGAGGGCAGGCATTTGCTGTTCTAACATCACTCCAGGCTTTATTTTATCCATCCCCCTCTCCTTTTCTCATTCCTTCAATTACAACCTCCTATTTCGTTGTGTTTCAGCTTTTTGTACCGAAGACCTTCTAGCAAACTGCCTTAAATCTTTCCTGGGATAAAAAGAGGCAGAAATAAATCAAAATTTCTTTCTCCAGGTCTAAATTTAAATGCAGCATGTGGGGAGAGATGGTGAAAATGGTGTGTGGGTGTCTACTGCAAGATTTTTCGGTCTCTAGGAGAGAAAAGGATAGAGAACAAAATGCCAAAGGGATTTGAGAAATGCGTGTGTGTGTTTCTGTGTGTCTGTGTGTCCAGTCGTTCCCAGGGCAAAGGGAAGAATTCAGAATTCAGGAAGAAGGGAGGGAGAAGAACAAGATCAATCGAGGCGGTGACCCACCTCCCACCTTTTCCGACCCCTCCCCACCCCACTGCAGTGCTGCTCCGCGCCTCCCAGAAAGCTCGTCGTCCAAGGGCAGATTCCCGACACCACAGCAGGGATGGAGCCCTGGGCAGGCAGTCTGGGAAGATCGGGATTGGGTAGGAATAGGCGATTGGAAGCGACTAGGCTAAGAAAGGGGTGAAGAAGCCAGAGACGCCAGCTAACATCGCTCGCCGAGATGGAAAGGGCCGACTGGCGGGACCTACCTGGAACAGGCGAGGTGGAGGATGCCTCAGGCACCTCTGGCCTCTCCTCCTCAGCCTTCTCCCTCTGCTGCTGCTGCTGCTGCTGCTGCTGCTGCTGCTGGATGAGGCTGAGGTCCGAGCGGCTGAGCTCGGCTCTGGCGGCCGCGGGGACCAGCCGCGCCTTCAGCAGCACCGCGGCCAGGCCAAGGAGCAGAGTGCAGGGGACCGGCCGGCAGAGCCTCGCCATGGCCAAGAGCCAGAGGGCTGCGGCGGCATATTGCGGGGCTCCAGGCGGCGGCGAGCGCCAGGTCTGCGGGCTCCCGGCCGCACCCGCTCTCTCGCTCGTTCCTCCTCGCGTGGTCTGCCTCGTACACCCTCACTGCCAGCGGGCGGAGGATGAGGAGAGGGGAGTATGCATCCTCGGGCACGTGACGCGCGGGGAGGGGCAAGCCTGGCGCCCGCCGCCCTACGCCCGGCGGTCACTCGGGCCTTGACGCTCCGAGGCTACTAGCCAGGCGTGGTGCTGGCGGCACTGTTATGGGTAGAGGCTTTGGAGGATAAACGAGAATGAGAAGACTTTCTGGTAGCCGGTAGACCTTAAGATTGCCCAACCTCTACAGCGGCACCGGAAACCTTTGCAGAAAGTGTAATAAAATTCCCCTCACCTGCCCCCCAAGTACCTTGATTCCTCTGGTACCGCACTTAACCTGGCACTAACGGATCAAGATTTGATTGTTTTAAGCATATGGTAGCCAATCAAAAAATATCTAACACTTTTCAAGTGCACAGGTTTTTATTTCTCCATTTTGGGGGAACTGAGAGGGCAAATCATATTCCATCATTTTGCAATAGAGAGCACAAGAAAAGAAAACATTTTTCTCTGGACCGAATTTCTTTTGATCCCCAGAAAGAGACCCTAAACAGGTATGAGATGTGTCTATCCTCGGAGAGTGGTGCTTTTGTTTATTTAGGGACCTGTAAGTCGTATGAAAAAAAGGGGGGAGGACACACAGTAGCTATTTTCTCGTCCTCTTCTGCCTTACCTGTTGCAGGATACTTTCGCCTTCCGATCCCGCTTTAGCTGTTTTTGGCTAAAGGCTACCCAAACCTTCATTACTCCAGGGTAATGGATCATTAGGAACAAAAAGTTGTTTGATTTACTAGTAGTATTTGTTATTACTATGATCCCCATGTTATAGGTAAGAAAACTGAGAAAACAGAGGTCAAATAACTGATGGAAGAGCATAGACCTAACAGGTGTTGGAGAGCTGAGATTGGATCCCACATATTCTAATTCCAAAGTCAAGGTCTCTTAAATATACAGGCTTTGCTGCATCTGGGCCATCATTGGTTTTACCTAGAAACTAAACTGTGGCTCTCCAGATTTTGACTTCCCTTTTCTGCACAAGTGGGGATTTCTTTCTATTTCATAAAATATTCTTAATTATATTTCGTCTAATTGTAGACTATACTTTTTGTTTGTTCAAACAAATACTTTACTATGTGCTTACTAGTGCCAGCATTTAGTCAGGTGCTTGGAATACATACAATCAACCCCTGCATCTAGGAGCTCACCACCTGGTAGGAGAGAGGAACATATAAAGAAATTATAATCCAATGGATAAACAAACTATGGTACATAAACAATGGAATACTATGCAACAATAAAGAACAATGATGAATCTGTGAACCATCTAACAACATGGATGAATCTGGAGGGCATTATGCTGAGTGAAATAAATCAATCACAAAAGGACAAATACTGTATGAGACCACAATTATAAAAACTCATGAAAAGGTTTACACACAGAAAGAAACAATATTTGATGGTTACGAGGGAGGAGAGGGGTGGGGAGGGAAAAACACTAAACAGACAATAGATAAGTGGTAACTTTGGTGAAGGGTAAGACAGTACACAATTCTGGGAAAGTCAGCACAGCTGGATCAAGGCAAGGTCATGGAAGGTCCATAGACACATCCAAACTCCCTGAGGGACTGAATTACTGGGGTCAGGGCTGGGGACCATGGTCTCAGGGGACATCTAGCTCAATTGGCGTAACAGTTTATAAAGAAAATGTTCTACATCCTACTTTGGTGAGTAGCGTCTGAGGTCTTAAAAGCTTGTGAGCAGCCAGCGAAGATACTCCACTGGTCCCAACCAGTCTGGAGCAACAGAGAATGAAGAAAACCAGAGAGAAAAGGGAAAGATTGTCCAAACGACTAATGGACCACAACTACCACAGCCTCCACCAGACTGAGTCCAGCACAACTAGATGGTGCCTGGCTACCACCACTGACTGCTCTGACAGGGATCACAATAGAGGATCCCAGACAGAGCTGGAGAAAAATGTAGAGCAAAATTCAAACTCACAAAAAAAAGACCAGACTTACTGGTCTGACAGAGACTGGAAAAACCCCAAGAGTATGGACCCCAACACCCTTTTTACTAACTATGAAGTCACTCCTAAGGTTTACCTTTCAGCCAAAGATTGTTGCTGTTGTTAGGAGCTGCTGAGTGGGTTCTATCTCATAGCGACCCTGTGTACAATAGAACGAAACACTGCCTGGTCCTGAGCCATCCTCACAGTGGTTGTTATGCCTGAGCCATTGTTGCAGCCACTACATCACAGGCCCACAAAACGAGACTAAATGGGCACACCAGCCCAGGGGCAAGGATTAGAAGGCAGGAGAAGACAGGAAAGCTGGTAATGGGGAATGCAAGGTCAAGAAGGGGAGAGTTTTGACACATCATGGGGTTGGCAACCAATGTTATAAAACAATATGTGTATCAATTGTTTAATGAGAAACTATTTTTTTCTGTAAACCTTCATCTAAAACACAATTTAAAAAAAGAAAGAAATTATAATTCATGCATAAAATTGGAAGAAATTAACTATCTGGTTTATGGAAGGGGTCTATGAAACCCCAGATATTTAAGGGGTGGGGTAGTTAAAAGAGAATAAGAGCTCCACAGACAGGAACAACCAGGTCGTCTAAACAGTGGTATAGTGTGTGTGTGAAACAGGGATTCAACCTGGTTCGTTCTGGTTCAAACCCTGCTAAGAATTTGCATTTCCACCCCAGATGTACTGAATCAGAATCTACAGTTTAATAAGATCTCCAGGTGATGCTTATGTATAATCAATTCTGAGAACCACTTCTCTACTAGGGGTTCTCAGAACTGGTCCGTAATGAGCAGCATTAGCATCGCCTGGGAACTTTTTAGAAATGCAAATTCTCAGCAGTAGTTTGACCTGGAAGTGGTTCAAAGCCCTGGTGTGAAATCTCAAAGGTGTGTTATAGCATAGTGTGCTTGGAAAACCATGAGCAATGATTGCAATAGAAGGGAGTGGCAGTGTTTTAGATTGAAAAGAAGAGTAAGGACCAGGTGGTCATCATCATAATTGTACTAGCAAACACTTCTACAGCACTGTGTTCCAGGTGCTGTTCAAGCATTTTACATATGTTAACTCCTGTAATAAACTTGGATGCTAAGTGTTATGATTGAATTGTATCCCTCAAAATACGTGTTGTAAATCCTAACCCCTGTACCTGTGAAAGGAGCCCTGCTGGCACAGTGGTTAAGAGCTCAGCTGCTAATCAAAAGGTTGGAAGTTTGAATCCACCAGCTGCTCTTGGGGAGAAAGTGGCAGTCTGCTTCTGTAAAGATTACAGCCTTGGAAATCCCAGTGGGGCAGTTCTACCCTGTCCTATAGGGTTGTTACGCTATGAGTGGGAATTGACTCGATGGCAATGGATTTTGGGTATACCTACGGATGTAATCCGATTTGGGAATAGGGTTTTCTTTGCTATGTTAATGAGGCCATATCAGTGCAGAGTGTGGCTTAAATCTACCCACTTCTGAGATATGAGGAGATTAGGCACAGAGAAGAAGCACAAACGAGGGGAAAATGCTTACCACATGGAGATAGACAAGGAATCAAGGAATGCTGGATCTATAGAAACTGAAGGACATCTTCCCCCAGAAGAGAGCCTTCCCCTAGAGACAGTATCAATTCACACTTCTAGCCTCCTAAAAAGGAGTGGAATTGACAGCAATGGGTTTGGTTTTTGGTTTGGTAGTGCAGTGGTTAAGTGCTTGGCTGCTAACCCAACGGTTACTGAAGGTGGTTGGTTCAAACCCACTAGCGGCTCCTCAGGAGAATAGACCTGGAGATCTGCTCTGCTCTTGTAAAGAGTACAGCCTAGGAAACCTATGGGGCAGTTCTACTGTCATACAGGCTCACTGAGTCAGAATCAACTTGACAGCACACAAGAAGCCTCCTAAACTGTAAGAAAATACATTTCTGCTCTTTAAAATCACCCATTTATACTATTCCTGTTATAGCAGCACTAGATAACTAAGATGCTAAGGAACTTGAAATTTACAGTGCAAGTGATTATAAACTAGTGAAAGAAATTTAGCAGGCAGAGAAGATACTTGTTACTGTCACGCTTTTTAGAAGGATTACTTCACTAGCAGTATGGAGGATGGATTAGCAGGGGATGGATTGGATGAGGCCTGATTAGAGGTGTCTGCAAAAGCCCATGAGGAGATGTCCAAGGCCTGTGAGCCTAAAAAGGAGAAGTCAGGACATTCACCATGTAGGGCTAGAACCAACAGAGATGCTTGATTGATTGGGAAGGAGAAGGGGGAGATGGGTGCGTCTAATGAGGCACCCAAATTGCCAGATTGAAATTTGGGGTGGTTGCTTATGACATTATCAAGATTAACTCGTGATACAGACTAAAAAATGGGTCTGGAGTGATGGTCCATGGCTTCTTCAATTGTAGTCTCTGTGTATGAGATAGCATAATGGGAATGTGATCTGACTAGGACATCATCCCATTGATCATCATGGTTGATTCAGTTCATTTGACTGATTGGATGATGTCCCTTTCCACTCTCACCATTCTTACACGTGTCCCTCCCAACGTTTCCAACTTGCTGGAAAAGAAAAAACTTCTCAGGAGTGGAAAATTATTCTTTGGTGAAGGGTAGGAAGATAGTACCTGTAGAACCCATAAAGTAATAATAACAATAAAGAGGATTTTTCATACATTATGTCATGACATCCTCACAGCAACTCTGCAACATAGCTATCATTATCCTACTTAGCAAATGGCAATACTGAAGCTCAGTCAGAGAGTCTACAATAACGGTATGGAAATTTACCCTTCTGCATTGTTTGAAACTTTTACCATGAGCTTGTACTGATTTTTAAACAAAAAAGAAACAATGTGAAACACATAATTATTTGGAAGATAAATGCTAAAGTGAACACCATTATTCCATCACTGCTTTCCCTCGCCAGTGTGAGCAGGAGCTATTGGGGGAAGGGAAATTTCTGAGCTGAATGCAGCGAGCCTTAACTTGTCTCCTCAAGCTGTTTTTATTTCGTTTTCTTCCAAGTTACATCTGCTCCTGGAGAGAAGAAAGGAGAAAATGGAAATAGTTCCAAAAACCTGACTGGCAGATCAGAAACAAACTAACACTGCCAGGATTTCAGTAGTCCTGCCTCATGGTGGCCAAGTTATCTTTAACATATTAGAGCTGCTCTTCTTGGAGGCAAAGCCCCTGATTGATGATCCCCAGTAAACAGAGTACATGAAATTCTTCAGCACTATGGACTATTTAAAGAGATAACAAGATTCCTCAATCAAGAGAGCTTAAATGGTTTAATAATGCTCCATTATGCATATCTAAATAGCTTATGCTTAATTTCTGCACAATATACAGAAGCTATATTATCTGATGCAATCTGGGCTAGTAGTTGGTGAATTTAAAGAGTTGGTTTTAAAGTCAAGTGAGATAAAAATCAGTGTATCTTATATGTCTTAAATCCCTATTTTACCTTTAAGTAAATGTATATTTGTTCACCAACCATGATGAAAACAAGGATTTTTCTTTGTCTATCAGTCAACCCATATCCCAGGGTTTAGGGTCATAAACCACAGTTAAAATGCACCATGATTTACAGTTTTAGTTTAAGTTGAAAGAGTTCTTAAAGACAAGCAATTTGAGTGCCAAGTCCTTCTGGATATTTTCTTTTTCCAAATATTTAAAATTTTCTCACTCACACCTAATTTGATAGCCATCTCTCTGTTTCTCTTGCTAAAGTCCTTGTTAAGCTGAAGTCCTTTATATTCTTTCACAAGCATTTAACTTAGTTTTAACAGAAAAACACACTTCTTTCACACTCATATTCCATCCATTCCTTGTTAACAACTTTGTGAATAAACATAACTAACTTTTGGCACACGCAAACCGCTAGGGTCAAAAACAAAGGACATATAAGGTGTAGCCTGCTAACTGCATCAGCCTCAGATATCCGTTGGTGTTTTACAAAAGAATGGAAAACGTCAGGAAGTTATTTTCAGGTTCATGATCCATGATAAGGTTTCATGCTGAATACAGTATAATCATTAATGTTAGAAATTCATTTTATAAAAATACTGCAAGAACATCAAAAAGCAAAGTATAATACCGCACATATATTATACTTCGTTTTTAAGGATCTTAAAAATACAGGAGGAATCCTTGGGTGGCGCCAAAGGTTAAGCGCCCAACTACTAACTGTAAAGGTTGGAAGCTGGAACCCACCCAGAGGTGTCTCGGAAGATCTGCTTCTGAGAGGTCACAGCCTTTCACACCCTCTGGACGGCAGCCCTACTCTGCAACCCATGGGGTCATTGTAAGTAACAATTGACTGGAGGGAAAGTGATTTGGTTTTGTTTTTTATTAAGAATACACAAAGGTTCAACGTCTAAAAGTTTGAATGTTACAGCAGATTTTCCCTGAACTAAAAAATTATAAAATCCTTCATTATTCAATGTCTTTTAGAAAACTTTTAAACACTGCATTGACAGCATGTTTTTTACAGGTTCTTTAATTTTGCTCCTTTCTTCCCTTCTCCCCGCCCCCAATGAAAAATAGCCAATCATCTTACATCCAATGAATATCTGATCAATACCAAAATTTTGCCGTTTTTGTCATACCTAATGATGTCAATCTTTGTTTATAAGTACAATCAGCACTGTCTTTTTTTCATTTCCCATTCAGTTTAATGAAATGACAAAGACAAATTTTTTCAAGTTAATATAAATACTGCTGTACGAAGATGCTGCTGCTGATAAAATTAAACTGTCTTTGTCTCTCAAAGAGGACCTCATTGTGATGGTAAAACATGTCTTCAACTGAAGCCTAAAATCCTGAATTTGTATAAAAATGCAGATTATGCCTGTATTTATTTTTTTTAAGCAACAACAAGGGTTAGTATGCCTTCATAGTTGAGGGGTGGGAAAGAAGAGTATAAATTCAAAACTCTCAAAAGATAGTGAACAAAAAACAACTGCTATTTAATACTAACTGAATGAGAAAACTGTTAACAAAATGTCATGTTTGTGCTAATCCATATCCTTCCAGGGTAACTTTTACAGGACATTGCTGGTAACGAATAGTTCTTCTGGCAACAATACAAAAATGATCACTTTCTACTCAATGGAAAGCAAACATACTAGACTTTCTATGAAGAGATATTTTATTTAAAAATTTTCATTAATAAAAATGGATTTCCATAGTAATATTTACACATGTATTTTATTGTTAATTTTAAATTTTATTTGGAACTAAAATCAGAGTGCTTTTCAACAAATGAATCTCACTTTTGAGAGTATAAGCTTTCTTGGATAAAACAGACTTAGAAAAAAACAACCTATTGATATCTTATTCAAAAAGACACTATAATTCACCAATCTGTTGCCAGAAAGTTATGAAATGCTTTCCTGAAAAGTATCATGCTTTATTTGAACAAATATTTTCATCTATGAATTTATTTTAATAAACTATAAGACGTATCTGCATTATTTTTCTGTCACTTTGTATTATTAAAGGTATGTGGTTATGTACTAGAATTGCAGATGTGTAAAAAAACAAGCTGTAAAGTGGCAAGTGTTCATTTTTGGAGTCACCTAATAAGGTAAAAATAATAAAGGTTAGTTAGTTTAATAAAATTTAGAATAATTCAGTTTGTTTAGAATCAAGGATTGTTGTATTTCAAGCAAGTACATATTTACCTTTCTAAGGATATATTTTAATGGTAGGTTTTTTGATCTTTTTGTGTTTCCTTTCTTCCAATGACTAACACTCTTAAATTCAGACTATTAGAGAGGTGTGTCATCTTGTTCAGGTCACGTTTTAGTGCATTGTTACTGGCTAATGTGATTACAAAGCAAAACAAAACATTATAGAAGGAAAGTACAAAGATCATACTCAAAAGTGGCATCATATGCTCAATTTTATTGTATAGTTACAAGTTACACACTGAAAAGTCAGAAGAACACTGTACCAGTTTTCACTAACCCAAATCAAGTTAGCAAATGACAAATTTTAGAATACACTCAATTTATGTTTCACCCAATGTGGGTGATCACAAGAGAAGCTAAACAAAGAAAACTACTTTCTATGTCACTTAGGTACCATATTAATTTGCTACACACAGCTTCCAAGTTACCTTAAGATATCTGAAAGTGTTTCAAAACTGGTAGGGGATAGTTTACATTCAAACTCAAAATGCAGAATGGACCTTTTAGGGGTAAACAATGTCACTTGTATATCCACAGCAGAATCACTCCCTCCTGCAAAAGCTAAAACAAAAACAAAAAAACAAAACAAAGAAAAAAAAACTAACAAGTTCCATTTAGATTAGGTTTACTAGATTAACAATGACTTTGAAATTATCTAAGTTTGCTTACATTGTTATATTGCACGAGAACAATGACAACAAAAATAAAAGATTCAGTACCTATCCCAATAAGTTCATTACGTATCAGAAATTACCATGAAATACATATTGTATGCTGCATGTCCATAGGTTCATCTTTGAAACTAGCCTACCAATAAGTTAAAAGGGATGCTCTCCAAAACACTGAGTATTAGGGTCATTTCATTTCTTTTTTAATCCTGTATTCAATTTGCAAATTTTGTACTTTTTTTCTTATTGATAAAACTACTACATATAGAAGATATCCAAGAGTACAAACAAGGTGACTCTGAGATAGGCAATGGTCACACACAGATCTTCCAAGAATGATTTACTCTTCCCCAGCTCAGCACAACATTCTGCAGCATAAGAACGTCTATCAACTCACAAATTCTGCTTGACGCAAACCAGCTGATCTGTTACATATTATAATTTGCCACATAAATCTCTCTCAGGGTCATGACTCAATATCAGAAACTTTTGAGTCTCTTATAGAAGCCAGTGTAATTTTTTTTTACTAATATTTGAATTTTCTCCTTACATAAATATAAATTAATGTTAATAAGAATTTACTGTGAATACGGTTTATAACAGGCAGAATTATGGCAATAATATTTTGATTGTTTTACACTTTGGAATCATTAAGAATTTAATCAGAATTACAATAATAATCAACCATAAAAGAGAGGTAAAGGGAAGAGAAGGAAATAATGACCCTCATACAAATTTTTATCAAAATATGAATTCTCAAGGGCCTATATATGTAAAAAAAATCAGTATCAATATTTCTTATCAAAATCCAATACTTTTTATATTCTGTAGTTCATTCATATGCGTTTTTAAAACTGACTCAGTTTGTAAGAACTTTACACTTTAAAATGGATTTTAATTCTTAATAAATCACAAACATGGTGATATTTTAAATATTGGGAGAGTAAATACATATTTTTCGTAGGACTTTTTTTTATATATTTTAATCAAATACATTTCACGTGCTACTTTAGGGTAAAAAGCATCTCAACATTTTCCCAAACATATTCCTCAAAGAGTTGGCTTTCAAATTATACTTCTACCATATTTTTACAGAGATATAATTTTTCATTTTTTGGAAAGAAAAATCCAAATCATTGCTTAAAGTTACATTTTCTTTGCAACTAGGGTCACATAACAATATCTGTATAAATTTTTGTATGAGAAATTAACTTGAGCTGTAAACTTTCACCTAAAGCACAATAAATTAAAAAAAATTTTTTTTCTAAAGGCGATTTAAAACATCATGTTAATTTCCAATTACGACATCCTTCAGACCCTCATACAAGATTATATCTTGAGCTACAGGTCATAAAAGGAATAGACTGGAAAAGCAAATACTAACATTTTTGTCAGAGAGTGAATAGCTACCCAACATATATTTTCAGGAATGAATGCTACTAGGTGGGAAAACAGATGAAAGTTGTTATAGATCAACTTAGTGGTTGTATGTACTTGCCCCTAAGCTAAAAATAGTTTTTCTTAAACTGTAAAGTTATTGGTAATAAAAATACTTATTGCATATGATCTTTTAAGCTACTAATAAAATCTATACTCCAAAATTCATAAATTTTGAAATGTACTAAATCTAAATATAGAGTCTGGTTAATGTTCTAACTTGCATAACTCACCTAAATGTGCTTCTATTTTATGATTAAATTCTCAAGATTGGTTTATGCACTTGTGCAGGGAATTATAATACAAGGCATGACAAGATAAATGTCAATTATTTTTAAAACACAGAAAAATAGTCAATTATTTAAGGGAAATATTTATCATTGCCTAATGAGGACAGTAGTTAAAAAGCTATTAAACTCTTGGTTTCCAATGCACATCATGATGTAATTGCACAAAAATAGGGATAATTGATAGTCATCCCCAGGCCTTGAGAAACTGTGAATAAATCACATTTTCCTTTAGAAGATTCACCACCCTACAGGCATATAAAATTATAACTTGCCAACTACACTGCTTTTAATAAAGATCTTAGAAAAGTAGTTTCTGTTAACAAACCCAAGAAAGCTTTAAAATGTTTTCAGTAACAAGCTGCTTTTAAAAATACCTTTTAAAAGTCACTTTGATAGCTGAGACTGGTTTTATATATTACCTTGCTTAAACTGAGGTAACAGCTATGTGATTAGCATTATGCTACTGCTAGAAGTAAACCAATGAGCTACTTTAAGAGTTTTGGTTCCAAGCATTTCTCATGGGGTGGGAGGGTAGAGGGATTGCGGGAGGGTTCCCGTAAGTTGTAAAGATTCCTCATTGATCTTGACCCGTTCTCAATTACAGTTTTGGAAATACAAGGAAGAATACATATAAAGGAGGAAAATAAATTAATCCCAACTAAAAACTCTAATCTAAGAACGTACTACTAACAAGCAACTATATCAAAGAACTACAAACATAGTCTTTTAATTAAAATGCTTTCTTTTTTCTATTGTAAATAGCCAGAACAAAACAATGGAATAGATGTTATTTTGGAAGTGATTTCCAACCCCATATGGCTTTAAGTGTCTTGATGTTTAGCTGAAATTAAACTATTATACAAAGGAAGTGTTTTTGATAATAGAACTAAGTTTTAAGCACCTAGAACTTTAATTTTATAAGTTAATAAAATAGGTTGAGGATTAAATATAAATAAAAATTTAATAGCATGTACCAAATTTCCATATTAAAACAAACGATTGTACCTTTGTTATTTAAGAAAGGAATTTTGATGGAATCATGCATTTTAAAAAACAGTTCTATCATGTAGGTGATATTAAAACCCACGTTCATGCAGCTATAAAGTCTTTAGTAGCTTGAAGAGTCAATTGTAGTGTAATGTGTACTAATGTTAAGTACTTGCACAAAAGATATGGATGCTAAGGTCCAAATCTGGATTGCTTTAAAATAATGACAATAATAAACAACAAAATCCAACATACTAAATAAGAAACAGTAATTTTAAGAGGTCCTATTTTATATCAAGTAGTAACTCAGGCACTACCTATCTTATATACATTGAATAAGAACTATCACTTGAAATTTTATCATTTAAATAACTAAAAACACTAGTCAGTTGATGCGGATTAAATGTATGTCAGAACTTATTTATAAAGAAAAGGCTGACAAATATTGCTCTCATTTTGTGGTTAACACCAATGGTCATCAACAGCAGTACAGCTGTGGAATTTTATTCCTCATGAAGGAAATTTAAATCTGTAATGAAGTTGGTAATTCTAATGGGTCAGGATGTAGGATAAATTAAAAATCACAGTTAAGTTTCAGAGTTTCCTTCGCCATTTTCTTGAGGTTGAAGCTGTTCCCTTTCTTGTTCTTCTTGGGGTGGCCGAACACGTTTAAAAAAGCCCATCTGTCGGTTGAAGAAAAATAAACATTATTGCCTTATCAGTAAAGAAAATTAAAAATACTTTTGAGTGACTATGTTAGAACCATGAAAATTTAAGGGACAGTACAATTTCTCTTGCTTTAAGTAATAAGTAATGCCCATGATGAATCAACATTATACGACCCTTGCTTCCTTATCCTTCTTTCTTTTCCTTCTCCCTCTCCCTCCTTCTCTCCTTCCCTTTCTTCCATCCTTCCTAGTTCCATTACTTACCCTGTACATTACAAACACCAAAACAGCCAGTAACAACAATCCTGCTAGAACTGCTAAAATGATCACCCACACAGGCACAGGCATGGGTGCTGGCTGAATGCCCCAGGTGACATTAGTGGTAACCTGTTGGGGAAAAAACACTTCTGAGTTTTAAAAACCATTCATTCACTTATTCAACAAGTATTTGAGTGCTACTATCCTGCATTCTAATGGTTTTCAGGTGACTTTCCTTTTTAGCATATAATTTAGTGATCATATATTTGATAACAAAAGCAAGCACACATAAAACTCCCCATAGTAGGTTAATTTCTGATTGCCTCTGAAATGATTGTTAAGTACTCTAAACCAGTTTATGATGTATTGACTTTATTTTTAATTCTCAAATTGAAGATCTTCAAAATGTCTCCACTTGTAGTTCATTTCCAACTTTCTAACTTTGTGGGGGAAACTTTAGAAATTTAGAATTTTTCCCACAAAATTTCAGCATATACTAAGAGATCCTACACACAGGACACGATGGTAAAACAAAAGCTCTAGTTTTAATAATTCCATGGTGGAAGTAAAGTAATAACATTAAAGTAGGTAATAATCCTATCAAATAACTCAATTTTAAAAAATTATCAGAATAGCTAAACTGCCATTATTTTTTAAACAATGAAGCATCTAAGGTGTTTGAACTGAGTGTATTTATTCCACTTCCACAAATAAATGACTTACTAATGTTGAGTTGAAGATATCCTCAATTGGTAGGTTCTTATACGGAAACTCTATGACATTAAATGAAGCAGATGACTTCATGGAATATGAGTGATTCTGGTTTTCCTTCTGTATGGAAATAACAATGAGATGATTTTCTAAATGCCAGGACTTTTTTATTTCTTTGAAAAAGTGGATCAGCTTTTAATGCTGCCTCTGTCCACTTACATTCATAAAGGTCTCGGTCCACAGGAGAGACTTCACATACAGGATCGCACTCTTTCCTCTATCTAGTCGCCCAACCTGGCAGACGATCTTCAAGCATTCGGCGATTCCACAGCCCTTCCAAAACAAATTCTTTTACTTTCATGAAAAGATCATTCTATCATCTCTTCAAACTTAAACATTTCAAAATTAGGCATTTTATTCTTTTCATGTGAAGGCCAAAGGAATTTAAAGACATGACCCAGGTTCTCTTGTCTTATGGGAATAATGCCTAAAAGGAACAGGCTAAGAGTTGAGACTATGAATCCTTTTTCTTATGAAGGGGTTGGGGTTTTAATGTGGTTTGTTCTAAATCTATAATGTCTATATAATACTAAAAGATTCATTTTTATGGCTAGAACTCAACATTCTTTAGGCAAACCCAGAGCATGGTGATTTTAGTAAGACATGAAAAGCAGATCACAATGTCCCTGTGGAAAATAAAAAGTGAATTTTTAACTGTTGATAAATAACTGGTCCATGTTAGCCCTACAGTAATAACCACATGGCATGCTGATGGCCTCTGCCACATTCAATGTTTTTCGAAGTGATCTGAAGGCAGGCAAGCAAAAGAAACAAATATGCACCACCTCCTACGTGCCAGTCAAATTGTACTAGACATGTCACATGCGAACACCTCACAACAATGTTATTCTTTAAGTGGTAACCATCATTTGACGAAAAAATTAAAGCTCAGAGAGATTAGCAAATGGATCAATGTTATTGAGGAAATAACTGGAGAAACAGAGTGAAATTCAGAGATGTCTGATAAAGCATGTGTTGTTTCTACTAAACCATAATAACTCTATCAAATTTGCAAATATCACAAATCTAAGAGTGATAATCAATTTGTTTTAAAAATCAAGGTTTTACAAGTTTTCAAAAGGCTGAGACAATGGACTGTAACCAATAAATCTACCAATATAAAGTATAAGGAATTTTAAACCTCAGAGCAATGTAATAATAGAATAGGTTGCTTTGTTATAAAGTCTCCGTCACTAGACGTATTTAAGTAGATACTAGTTAACAGTTAAGGAGCCCAGGTGGCAAGGTGGTTAAGCACTTGGCTGCTAAATGAAAGGTTGGAAGTTCAAACCCAGCAGCCACTCTGCAGGAGAAAGATGTGGCAGTCTGCTTCCATAAAGATTACAGCCTTGGAAACCCTATGGGGCAGTTCAACTCTCTTCTATAGGGTTGCCAGGGATTGAAATCGACTCTACGATACTCAACAGTTAACAGTTCATCAGACCTGTTTTATAGGGTAAGTTGGACTAAATAACTTGCTTCTAAAGTCTACTCTATCTTTCATATTCATTCATTCAAAAATGAGTGCTCAATCAATTCATTACACAGATATTTACTCAGTCCCAGGCATTGTTCCAGATGCTGGAGATAGAGTTGTAACTAAAAGAAGTCCCTGCCTCTAGAAAAACTGTTTATTAGTGACTACCAGAGGCTAAGGGGAGGGGGAATGGAGAGTCATTACTTAAGGGGAACTGAGTTTCTGTTTTAAGAGCTTGGCTGCTAACCAAAAGGTTGGCAGTTTGAATCCACCAGCTGCTCCTTGGAAACACTATGGAGCAGTTTTACTCTGTCTTATAGTGTTGTTGTGAGTTGGAATCGACTTGACAGCAACGGGTTTAGTTTTCTGGAATTTCTGTTTAGGGAGATAAAAATCATTTGGAAATAGACAGTGGTGATGGCTATACAATACAGTGCATGTAATTAATGTCACTAAATTGCACACTTAAAGATGGTTAAAATGGCAAATGTTTTACTATAAACTGACCTCTGAGCACTGCTTCTGCTGTGTCCCAAAGGTTCTGGTAGGATGTGTTTTCATTCTCATTTGATTCTATGAATTTCTTTATTCCATCCTTAATTTCTTCTATAACCCAGTAGTTTTTGAGCAAAATGTTGTTCAGTTTCTATGTGTTTGATTTTTTTCCCTTGCTTTTTCTGTTATTGATTTCTACTTTTATGGCTTTGTAGTCAGAAAAAATACTTTGTAATATTTAAATGCTTTGGATTCTGTTAAGGCTTCCTTTATGGCCTAATACGTGGCCTATTCTGGAGAATGTTCCATGTGTGTTGGAAAAGAAAGTATACTTAGCTGCTGTTGGGTGGAGTATTCGGTATACGTCCATGAGATCAAGTTGGTTGACCGGGCATTTAGATCTTCTGTGTCTTTCCTGAGCTTCTTTCTGGATGTTCTGTCCCTCACTGAAAGTGGTGTGTTGAAGTATCCTATTATTGTGGAGCTGTCTATCTCTCTTTCCAATGCTGTTAGAGTTTGTTTTATGTATTTTGGAGCCCTGTTGTTGGGTGCGTAAATATTTATTATGGTTATGTCCTCCTGGTGTATTGACCTTTTAATCATTATATAGTGTCTTTCCTGATCTTTTGTGGTGGATTTTACTTTAAAATCTATTTTGTCAGAGATTAATGTTGCCAGTCCTGCTCTTTTTTGAGTGTTGTTTGCTTGATATATTTTTTCCACCCTTTGAGTTTTATTTTGTTTGTCTTTAACTCTAAGGTGTGTCTCCTGTAGGCAGCATATATACAGATCCTGGTTTTTTAACCATTCAGCCACTCTCTGTCTCTTTATTGGTGCATTTAGTCCATTTACATTCAGTGTAATTATTGATAGGTTTGCGTTCAGTGCTGTCATTTTGATGTCTTTTTTTGTGCATTGTTGGCAATTTCTTTGTTCCACTTAATTTTCTGTGCTGAGTCATTTTTCTTTATTATTTTTTTCATCTTTTTCATTGTTGCTGATTTTGTATTTGCTGAGACTTTGTTTTTCTTGTTTGTTACTTTGATGTGTAGGGTTGTTAGTTTCCTTTGTGGTTACCTTAATATTTACCCTTATTTTTCTAAGTTTAAACCAGTCTTTTATTTCTTTATATTACCTTGACTTCCTCTCCAAATGAAAAATCTATGACTACATTTTTTAGTCCCTCTTTTTTGTTTTAATGTTGTCTAAATTGGCAAATGTTTTGAAATATAAATTTTACCACAGTAAAATTTTTTTAAAAATTTCAAAATCCCTGTCCTCATATAGCTTATACTGTAGCACACATACATACATATATATATGGGGAATAACTGAGGGAGGAAGATAATGAAAAAATTAAAATACATGTGTAATAATATAAGCCATATTTGCTTTGTTTACTATACTAGATACTGAGTATGCAACCCAGCCCTTGCTTCTGCCTTCCCCTTCAGCAGGAACCAATCATTCCCCAGCTACTGGAATTACTGGCTGCTGAGGGCTTATAGCTGAATGCCTGGGGGGAACTGTTCTCACCCAAACAGAGCTGCCTACCCCAAAAGTTAGTCCTTCCCTGGAAACAGACGCAGCTAATGAATGGTTGGTATGGGGGAACCAACGGCTGAGTCCCATACCTTAGTTTGGGACAACGCTGAAGGGCCATCCTAGCGCCTGTGTTCCCTATGGAGTCAGCTGAGACCTTTGTTAGAACTATATCACAGTTCAACTTCTCTATGCCCATTCCTGCTTCTTCCCTCACTCGTGATGCCCTCACTCATGATGTTCTTGCATGCCATCAAGTCAACTCTGACTGATAGTGACCCTAACAGGGTTTTCTAAGCTGTAATCATTATGGGAGAGGATTGTCAGGTATTTTCTCCCATGGAGAGGCTGGTGGGTTCACACCACTGGCTGCTCAGTTAGCAGTCAAGCACTTAACCATTGTGCCACCAGGGCTCCTTTCCTTCACCCATACTCCACAATAAATCTCCTGCATATAAATCCCTGCTTCAGAGTCTGTTCCCAGGAAACTGCTGCTACTAGAAGTGGTCCTAGGAAGCAGACCTTTTAGATCCGCATTACCTGCCAGGTGGCAGCTGGCAACGAGGACCCCATCACTGGTGGCAGGTGAAGTACTGAGTCCCAGGCAGGTTGTAATGGTGCAACTGTTAACACAGTTCAAAACCTGGGACAGGGAAACCTTATAGACAGTAGGGAATGTACTGTTGGGTGTAGATTGGTGGGAGGCAAGATTTAATAATTTTTTTTTTAATTGATGTAATTAAATGAAGTTTACATTTCAAGTTAGTCTCCCATACAGAATTTTTTTTTTTTTAACATACATTGTTATGAGACCCCAACCGCTCACCCCATTCTGCGACAGCACACTCCTCCCCTCCGCCCCTGATTCCCCATGAACATTCAACCAGCTCCT